TACGTCAATTCCAACTTTTAAAGAAGGAAATCGGAGAACCAAATGTTGTAAAAAAATAATAATAATCGAATCGAATCACATACATCAAAAAAAAACTTCCATAAAAATACTCCAACTTTCGATAAGTTTTTTTATATCCCAATTTTTTTAGTTACCTAGTTTAATATCCCAACTAATTATTGTGTCCAGTTTAATACATCCACTTCCAAACAATGTCCATTTACCTACTTCGACTTAACGGTTGGATAATATCCGTTATCTTTTTATGTTAGCGTTTAGTTTTAATAAAATATTAATATTAAAAAGATAAAAAGATAACGAATGTTATCTTTCGGTATGTATGTAAATGGGCAGGGTTAGAAAGTAAATGTATTAAGCTGGACAAAATAATTAGTTGAGGTATTAAACTGGGTAATCAAAAAGTTGGAGTATTAAAAAGGTTATCGCAAAATTTTTCTACAAACGTTTATTATGGTAAAAATTGTGGCTATGTTAAGCTTTTCTTGTAGTGTACATCAAACGAGCATAAACGATAAATAAGAAGAGATAATCAAATGTAACGACGACACGTATGAGTAGTTCTGTACGGATTCATAAAGAGGTGGTGACCATAAAACAAAGGTAAAATGGCCATCAAACTTCCTTATCTATATTAATAGTCGTTAGTTTCGATTTCAGGATTTCCAGTCCTCATCTTCAAATATGTCGTTGAGATCATCTGCTTTAGCGATAACTATGAATGTTCGTTTTACCCTCGTATCACCCATTGATATATATGCCTCTATGAGTGTGTGGAGGGAAAATGACATATTCCCTCATGAACTTAGCAATTCATGATTTTTTATACACTATCTATTGACCAATGTTTAAAAACCGCACGATTCCCACAAAAACGTAAAGGGTGTTAAGTTTCCGTTAAAGGTTGCTCACGTGGAACATGGTTTCTGTTTGGTTTAATAATTATTGAATTATTTTTCTTATAAATCACGTGGAACGGATTCTTCAGAACCGACGCTGATGCATAAATATTATCTATATTGTATGTTATTGCGAATGTATAAGTGATATATTCAAAATTTAAAACAAATGTAATGAATAAAGATTTCAAAAAGCTTATATAGTTT